TAATCCGATAGCAAATGGGTCTGCAGGAGAGAAAACTGAACAAACACCGACCAATGAAAATGGTAAAGCACATAGGCGCTCTCTTGTGACAAAAGCTGATCCAAACAGCAGCATTTTTACATTGCTTTGGCAGAATTGCATGTATTTTTTTCGAGCAAGCGCTGCTTATAATTCAAAACCTTGTCTTGATGGTCACTATTTTCCTTTCTGTATTATCTTCATTGGGAGGGGAATGAATGGGTTGTTTGAATTCACTTTATTGCTTTCCATGGTGATGAGAGTATGTCTGTAATCTTAAAGATGAGCAGAATGTTCCAGAAGAGAACAGTTTCTCTTCAAACTCGAGCTTGTCTACGCCAGTGAAGAAAGTGGAGTTTAACCTGGACCTGGATCTGCTTGGAAGTGAATCTGAATTAAGTGCTCAGACCGAAGCTGAAGCCACAGATGCGGCGCAAAATGAAAACAACAATAACGTCAGTAATGCTGGTCAGTACAACCAAAAAAATTCATTGGCCAAACATGATTTTGGCCTCTTATGTTAAAAAAAAAAAGTTCTACATTTTAGGTCCATGCATGGGTAATACCGTAAGTTTACAATGTCATTGGGTTTTATGTATTACAGGGCGAGGAACAGCAGAAGAGATCTTCACTGAAATCAGTCTAGACGAGCCAAAGGAGCATGCATAGCGTGTGTTTCCCATACAACAATCAAGATCTCTGGTCTTTGGTACCTAGATTCAACTCTATCTGTTCAAGATGCCTTGATCCGGACTATATGAGTGCTAAAGCGTCCTTTTGACATTCTCACTTCAAGTGCTGTTTCATCTACTGTTAAAAGAGATTGTATACTGTACATAAAAAATGACATTGAATCATTAAAGTTTATGTAAAAAAAATGTTAGCATACAAATGCAGTATGAAATAATTTGTGGCTGTAATAAACGTTCACTGTAGAATACACTTGTGTGTGTGTGTATGTTTTTGACTGATGCTCTCTGTTAAAGGGACAGTTCGCCCACAAATTAAAATTAAGTCATCGTTTACTCACCCTTGTGTCCTTCTAATGCCATATGCCCATCATTTTTTTTCTGAACACAAAAGGAGATTTATTTATTTTTTTATATCCTGTGTGCTCGTCCATATAATGGCAGACAGTGCTGGGTAGATTACAAATTGCATGATAAAAATTGTAGTCAGTAATGTCATTTAGATTACTCATTTTAGGTAATGTATTCTGACTGCTATTGGATTACTTTTAGATGACTTATGATCTAACTTGTTTCTAGATTTAAATTGGATTATTATTATTATAGAAAAAAAAAACAAATATATGACTATTAAACAACATCAGTGAACGTCCAAATGTGTTGTTAAAGGCACAATATGTAAGATTTTTTTATTAAAATATCCAAAAACCACTAGAACAGTGTTATATATTTTGCTGACTTGTGTACTTACATTATCCCAAATGTTTCGAAGAATGTTTAAATCCAGAGAAATAAGCAATTTTAACTAGTGACACGGACCGTGTCCATAGTGTCATTGTGTCGCCTGCCAATGACGTCATAACCCCTCAATTTCCGGTTTTTTTTGGAATCTGATTATGTAATCCAGATTACATGTAATCAGTTACTACCCAGCACTGATTGTATGACGATCAGCATCAAGCTTTTAAAAAAAGATGCAAAGTTGTTGTATAAAACTTGTTGTTGGGACGAGCACAACAGATATATTATCTTGTTTTCTCACAACTTGTGTGCTTTTCCTGGGCGAGTCGGAGTGAACTGCTGTGCTAATAGAGACTCATAAACGCGCAGTCCTGCACAGAGACCAAAGGTCAAGGTCAGGATATTCGTTAAATAATAAATTACATTTTGGTTTGTTTTTCACCAAACCCTGTCATATATCCACCGAACACTTATGTTGCATGGGATCATTCTGCATACTTTCTGCAAAAGCCATTATATGGACAAGCACGCGCAGGACACTTGTTTTGATCTTATTTTGCGTCTGAAAAAGAAAGAAGGGCATATGGCATTAGAACAACACAAGGGTTAGTAAATGATGACTTAATTCTCATTTTTGTGTGAACTCTCTTTAACAGTCATTTGAGAGTTTCGTCATATCCCTTCTTTAAACATTTGTTCAGCCGAAGGGGATGAGCACAGTTAGGAAATACACAGAGAAAGAGTTTAAATACTCCTCGTTTTCCTCAGTTTAGATGGAAGAAGACGTATCTTCACTGGCCAAGTAGTGCTCAAGTGTTGCTGTATACAGTATATCCACCAAGCTGTGCTTCTGTTGGTCTGCCTTCCATTATCAACAATGGCCCAGACCTAACGCTGAATCTTAATCATAAGATTGTTGTGCCAGCGGACCCTCTAAACCACCTCGTCATGCGGGTTTTGCCAGCACTCTCAGAAAAAAAAGGTACAAAAGCTGTCACTGTGCACACCTTTGTACCTAAACAGTCTATATTGGTACCTTAAAGGTACACATTAGTACCTAAAGTGACATATTAGTACAAGGAAAGGTACTGCCCCAGTGACCGCTTTTTCCGTTTTTTTTGTATTGCAGAAGGCCCAAAGACACACTGGTGAAGATTACACACCCAAATCAGTTTGAAAGTACGTCTCATGTCAAGCTTTTTGATACACATAGGTAAAAATCCATCAACCGAATGTGCTAAAATTGAAAAATGGTGACCTCGATGTGGGCTTGTGCCCTAATTGGTGATCCTGCCCTGACCACTGGATTTATTTCGACTAGTTGTCTTACACTCACACTCAAGTATGTGTCTTTCCTTCATGTGCACCAGAACTGAGAATTGTTCTTCCTGTGTGTAGATGTCAGTGCAATCTGTTGTGGAAGAAAACACATACAAATCAATACATATAAATACATTCAAATTAAATTTAAAATTATTCAAAAGAAAGTTTGCCTTATTTTCTCTTTCATTTACCGACAGCAGATGTTTAAGTTCAGTTTTGGTCCTCCAAAAAAGCTAATATCTTTACTCGTATGCATTCATGCATGTATTAATTACATTAATAGCTTGACTTAGCTCTTAATTTGATAAACAAATTTTAAGTATGGAATCATTATATTTCCAGGAGACTGCAGGCCGACAGTGGTTTGTTTATGTGGTTTACATTGTGCACTCCTAGATGGAAGTGATCTTCAACTTCACAGTATATCCTCGACTACTTCACACGCCGAAAACAGAGCAGCGGATGTGTTTGTGGAAGAACACACTGGAAAAGACACTGGGACAACCCTCCAGAATTAATTCAATGAATTTTAATACTTATGAGTGTATAGTACAAATAGGAGAATGATACTTTATTGCTTCTAATTCACCCAAGCCCTGCCTAATAACGCCTACATGAATAAAAGAACACAAATTTTACAGAGTCTTCATAATGTATTTAATGATTCATAGATTACATTTAATAGATCATGAAAACATTTCCAGTTGGTTTGTAAAAGGTGTCATTATTCATGCTTGGGCATGAATAATAACCATTTTGCCCAGCTGCGGTGAATCGAGTGCTTCGAAACTTTCGAAACAAAGTTTTGAAAAGCTTTGTTTCTCACATTGCTCCTTTTTCATTATGAAATTATTTGGACATCCATCCATCCATCATTCCATGGGCTCACGCCCGTTGGTGTCCAATGCCCGTCTGACGCTCCATTTCCACTGTGCACGGTCTTTGGCACGCATTTGGACATATTGGCTATTTTTTAAGCGTTTCGCTCTTTTTCTGTCGTAACATCTTAAATATGTCGTCTCTACTCTGAATAAAAAAGTCCGTCACTGTTGCTTTTCAACTTTGAATCAACTCTTCGGCACAGTGTGTTGAGTTTTCTGACAGTCCCTATAGATTGGCTTTGATTAATCTCACTTACTAACAAAGCGTGTATTTTCCGACGCTCCCTTAAAGGGATAGTTCACCCAAAAATGAAAATTACCCCATGATTTACTCACCCTCAAGCCATCCTAGGTGTATATGACTTTCTTCTTTCAGAAGAAACCAATTGGAGTTATATTTAAAAATGTCCTGGCTCTTCCAAGCTTTATAATGGCAGTGAATGGGTGTTATTTTTCAATAGTCCAAAAGAAGTCCAATAAAGCGCATCCATCCATCATAAAAAGTGCCTCACATGGCTCCGGGGGGTGAATAAAGTCCTCCTGTAGCGAATCAATGCATTTTTGTAAGAAAAAAATCCATATAAAAATTTTTATAAACAGTAATCTCTATCTACCTCTAACTGTCTTCAATAGAACGCCATTCCGGCGGATGACGTAGGACGTCGGCGTAACATAAGGTTCGGTGAGAATATGCTAGTCTCGCGAAAACCAATGTTTGTTTACAGGAGCAAAGGGAGCAAAGTTTCCTTACTTTAGCAAAGGAAAACCAGTCTCCTATTGGCTTATATCGAAATCCTCCGACATTCTTCTTTACAAATCCTAGTTTTGTACTTTTAATTCATGACCAGTGTTTTGTTTCGCTCTCTCCGCTGCACTTCCGCATTCGTCACTTCTCACTGGACCTTACGTTACGTCCTACGTCATCCGCTGTAACAGTGTTATTGTGAACGCGCGTACGACAGTTACTGAGATTACTGTTTATATAGTTTTAAATATGGATGTTTTTCTTACACAAACGCATCGATTCGCTTCAGGAGGCCTTTATTAACCCACTGGAGCCATGTGGGACACTTTTTATTATGGATGGATGCGCTTTATTTGATGTCTTTTGGACTATTGAAAAATAACACCCATTCACTGCCATTATAAAGCTTGGAAGAGCCAGGACATTTTTTTTATATAATTCCGATTGGTTTCGTCCGAAAGAAGAAAGTCATATACGCCTAGGATGGCTTGAGGGTGAGTAAATCATGGGGTAATTTTCATTTTTGGGTGAACTATCCCTTTACGGGTGTCGCGCATGCGCAGATCATCGCTCTGCCGCTAGTGGCCGCTGTTTCGCGCTCCGTTTTTGCCACAGCAGCCGAAGGCCGAAAATATCAGACACCATGGCTCTGTCGCTGCGCGTCTGCTCGCGTTTTTACCGAACCAACGCGCCTCTCGCACAGGCAACAGGCTCTAGAGGTTATTAATCACAAAACTCGGTCTTTCAAGTTGAGTGTTTTGACCATGAGTGTCGGCGATTGCGCCGCGTAACGCGCTCGACACGCACAAAGGCGGATATTATGGAATAAACGCGCGTCGCACGGCCGCTAGACTCACCATAATAATAACAATTACACTGCTATGGCACTCTCGGTGATCCAGACGTGTCGTAGTCTGGCCCTGTCCACCTGGCTGCTGTCCTTCTGCTTCGTCCATCTGCTGTGTTTGGACTTCACGGTGGCGGAGAAGGAGGAATGGTACACGGCGTTCGTCAACATCACGTACGTGGATCCGGACACGGCCGAGGTCCGCACCGAGAAGACGGAGTGCGGGCGTTACGGGGAGCACTCGCTCAAGCGCGAGGCCAGAGGCGTGCTGGCGATGCCCGTCGCGCCGCAGGACAGACACGCGTGCGACCCCAGCTGCAGGTTCACGCCGCGCGGACACGGCGCGTGGATCGCGCTCATCAGCCGGGGAAACTGCACGTACAGAGACAAGATCCGAAACGCCTTGGGAAAAAACGCGTCCGCTGTGGTCATATTCAACGTGGGATCCTCCAACCCCAATGAGACCATCACCATGTCTGATTCAGGTGGTGCATGCTTGGTTATGATCGATTATGTCTGCGTGACAGGTTATGTGTGATTGCAAATCCATATTTGGTTATGGAGTGATGGCAGATGCATGTCTGGCTAAATGTGATGGTCAATGCATATGTGTTGTGATGCATGCATTCATCATCTGTCAACTAGATATGCATGTTTGGTTATGTGTTATTGTAAGTCCATATATATATACGGTTATGAGTGATGGCTGATGGTAATAAATGCATGTGTGAGTTATGTGTGATAAATGCATTATTGCATATTTAGAAATGTGTCTGGCTGAATGTGAATGCATATGTGTTTTATGAGTTTATATATTGTTATTAGTTATAATGAGTGCATGATGTGTTATTGTAAATGCATATTAGGTTATGAGTGATGGTGAATGGATATCTTGCACGTTTGATTGTGTTTTGCTAAATCTGTGATGGTTTAAAGGAATATTTCACCCCAAAATTAAAATTTGCTGAAACTTTACTCGCCTTTAGGACCATCCAAGATTAGGATGAGTTTGTTTCTTCATCAGGTTTGGAGAAATGTAGCATTGCATCAGTGTCTCAGCAATGGATGCTCTGCAGTGAATGGGTGCCGTCAGAATGAGAGTCCAAACAGCTGATAAAAACATCACAATAATCCACAAGTAATCCACAGCACTCCAGTCCATCAGTTAATGTCTTGAGAAGCCAAAAGCTGTGTGTTTGTAAGAAATAAATCCATTATTAAGATGTTTTAACTTCAAACTGTTGCTTCCAGCTAAAATATAAATCCATAATAACGCTTCCTCCAGTGAAAAAGTGCATCTGCTGTTGTCTCTCACATCAAAATCCAGCCACATATTTGTTTAGAGCTGTTTAAACGCTGCTTGATCTGTGCAGATTTGTCTCCTGATTCACACCAGAACACTTTATCACTGGAGGAAGCGTTATTATGGAGTATGGACTCGGATTTTAGCTGGAAGCAACAGTTTGAAGTTAAAAATGTCTTGATGGATTTGTTTCTTACAAACATGCAGCTTTTGTCTTCTCCAGATGTTAACTGATGGACTGGAGTGCTGTGGATTACTTGTGGATTATTGTGATGTTTTTATCAGCTGTTTGGACTCTCATTCTGACGGCACCCATTCACTGCAATTCAGGCCCCGAAAATAGTAATTTGTTCTTGTACCTTGGGCACTGTAATGTAAATTGTCACATGCTTTAGTGTTTTTGTGGGTATTTCTGACTTCTCTATAAAGTGTTTGAACGTGTGTCGCGTCGTCCAGCTGTGTTTGTATGTTCTCTCACATCTGGAAGTCATGAGTGAATCGTGATGTTGGTGTTCAGGCTCGACTGGAGCGGTCACTTCAGCGTTCTGCTCGTTCCGCGTCTCAGAAGTTTCATCTGACGCCTCTTATCTTTCTCTATCTCCCTGTGAAGTGTTGCAGAAATGCTGCTTGTTTAGTTCCTCTCTTTGTTCTACGTCAGTATCTGCATTTATCCCCCTTGTTGTTTTTCTTGTTATCTTTAACTCTTTCTTTGAACTTTGTGTTTCGTTTGGGCTCCGTCTGATGTTAAAGCTTTTCACTGTGCTGTTTTTAGGGTCCTATGAAATCCCCCCCCCCTCTCCCAAACTCTGTTGTATTTTTTCCCAAATTATATACTTTTCTGGATTCCATTTTTTTTCCATTTTAAAATTTTCTGGATTCTGTTTTAATGTTTACATTCAATTTTAGCAATCAAAAAGCATGTCTAATTAATTAATCATGATACTTATACAATTTAACAACAATTTATTAAAGTTTAACAAAAATTACATATATGGCCTTTTAAAATCCTTTTATTTTTTCCCCCAAATTAATTTTTTTTTTTTCTAGATTATTTTTTCTGATTTAAATGGTTCGATTAAATCATAATAATCAGAGAGAATGTCTAATTTAAATCATGAAACTTATTCAGTTTAACAACAATGTATTAAAAGTTTAACAAAATTTATTTTTTAAGACATATGAAATCCATTTTATTTTTTTCCCATTTTTATTTAATTTTTTTTTTTTAATTTTGTAATTTTCCCCCCAAATTCATTTCCCCCCCCCATTTTATTATTATTTTTTTCAAATTTAATTTTACTTTTTCCTGTATTTTTTTATTTCAATTTCAATTTTCTGGATTACGTTTAAATGGTTAGATTAAATCATAACAATCAGAAAGAATTCCTGATTAATTAAAATCATGAAACTTATTCAGTTTAACAAAAAAATTTAATTTAAAAGTTTAACAAAGTTAAAATTTTTAAGACCTATGAAATCCATTTTATTTTTTCCCATTTTTATTTATTTTTTAAAATTCTGTAAAATTTTCTCCCAAATAATTTTTTTTCCCATTTAAATTCCCCCCCCCCCC